AGAGAGAGAGAGAGAGAGAGAGAGAGAGAGAGAGAGAGAGAGAGAAAGAGACAGCATCACAGCCTCCTATTGCAGAGCCTACCTGCACTGCTTCACCATGGGCCTGAGGGAGGAGGACTTAGAGGAGAATCGGAAGAGGGGTCTTGGTCATCCACACCTTGCTGGGTCACTGTCACCACACCTTCCTCTTCCATGAGAGATTCTCCCTTCTTTTCCCTGGCTGTGGGTCAGAGCCCATAGGCGTAGTCTGCATTTCTCCTCTCCAGCCCATTCCCAGCTGGGCAGAGCAGCTCCGTTCCTCTCACTGCTGTCCAAGTTCCTTCCACCAAGGATCAGGTCCTATCAAGGAACCTCTCATTTGTATAAGGCATTACATTGAAATAGACTTCAAATATAGATATTCAAAAGAAGTAAGGTCTCACAGACGCACCCAGAGACTATGCTCATTGTTTTCTTACTACCAGGATCAAACTGAGGAGCAATGGCATCTTTGGGAAATCTACAGCTTAAGAAAAGAGTAGAAGTAGCTTCTTTATCAAAGTGCTACTCTCTGACCCTACTTGGGTCATGGATGTTAGTGAATTCTATTGAATCTTATATTTCATTAAACCCACTGGTATTCACATTAATAGAAATTTTGTTTCTTCTCATTTTTTGCTTTTTAAAAAACTCCTATGTAAGTACATCATGGATATTTTTTATCTACTACTCTCTAGATTTATTTCTCTTTTCTATCTCTCTACATTTTGTGTGTGTGTGTGTGTGTGTGTGTGTGTGTGTGTGTATGAGTGTGTGTGTTTCCTTACTTTTATATTCTGTTATAAGTAGACCATCAAACAATTTGTTTCTTTGGCTATGTTGCTATAAATGTGCTTATTTCTAGAATCATAGAACCCCAGAGTCCAAAGAAGAGGCCTGTCTTGGTAACATTTATAGATAAACCACACCTGATGAGATCTTATAAATCAGTGGTTGCTGATGCATGTTCTGGAAGAGGTTCTGACTGTCCTAACACGAGAATGATCCTCTCCAGATATAACAAGTGTAGCAAATGCTCAATACATGTTTACTATTATTTATTATTTTACACTTTGACCCAACTGACATGCTCTCTCCATTGTATTCCCTGATGTTCTAACAAACTTTCTTTGGAACATTATTTTACTTAGCACAGATGCCCTTAGTTCCAAGAAGCTCTCTCTCACTTTCCATTTGTATAAGAAACATATTGCTTTTTCATAGGCACTTCATTTGGTAGCCATTTATTTTTCTGAAAATTTTCTCCACTTTTTTCTGCCAAGGACAATTCAGTTAGGATCACACACATCACTCTGAACACAGCCCCTGAAGATGTGAAGCACAGGTGGAAAATGAAACTTTCTCACCTGGCAGTTCCTACTAAAGTAGTGGAGAATGAAAATGCCTGACAGGTCAGGTAATTGTGGCTGTGGGTGACTCATGAGACGCCTTACATTTGGAGTGCCAGGGCGTGTGCGTGAGAGAAAGTGTGTGTGCACCCCGTGTGCATGGGCTTCTTGCCTCCTGAACTTGATTTTCCTGCTCTGACCTACGTGGTCCGGGAGTAGCAACAACTGGACACCCCGGTCCCACGCCGACTTCCTCTGAAAGGCTCCCTTTCTGCTGCCTGCCCTAATGTCTCCATTATCCCGGTTCCCCACGCTCAGGGCTCCCTGGCCAGCCCCACCCTGCCACCCCGCCCCGGCACACTGTCTCCTGCTTGCAGGGGCACATTATGCACTTATTGTTTGTCCTACATCATTCACTTTTTTCTCAACGTTTTCTAGATTCCTGTCCTTGCTCTACCTAAAACACGGTTCTGTTCTTTTCATACTGACATCCTACTTTCCTCCTCCGTTGAGAAATCTCCAAAACCAGCTCCACAGCGGGGCCCGTGGTGGCTGGTGGCACTGACGGTGCTTGTGGTCACCTCTAATTGCCTGTCTCTGCTAGCCATTCTTTGAAGCCTTTGCCTTTGATGCCTGCAGCCCTCCTAAGATGGATGGCTGAGCATCCTCTGCTGACCCATTTCCACTGCAAAGGTGATTCAGTGGCTGACACGTTCTTTCCTCCATTTCCCCCTCTGGACTTCACTTAGGATCACAGTGTTTCTACTGAGTGACTCTGCAAGGTCTGAGGAGTCCAAATAAACACTGTAAATCGAAAAAGGTTCTCTTGACACTTTCCTTCTATCATGCCCAGAAATAACCGCTGTTACCAGAGTGCATTTTCTAGGCCCCTTTCTTTATGTGTTTCTGTACTCCACACTAAAATAAGATTCATGGAAATGTATAATATGGACCCAATAAGTGATTGAATGAATAAAAGTGTATTTGTATATATGTATGCATGTATATTTACATATTAATATATGTATGTGTGTATATGTACACATTAATATATACCCGTATATATACGTATCTGTGTACAGATCGCTTTGCATATGTGTTTACATTTTGATAAAAATTGTTTTGCTTTATATATACATTCTTGGCCACTTGTCTTT